CCTGCTACGTTGGTTACAAATGTATATAGATTCAAAATATAATCTGACGTGGCCAATACAGTGGTAGCGTCTGCTTTCATTACCTCTATTCATTGTTTCTTAATATGTTAATATTTATCCTTTATTTACTGTAGAAACTTTGATAGTTCGCCTAAGGATATATCCATTTATCTCGTAAGCATGACTTCTTTATGCATAAATTCCTGGACTGGATTCAAGTTTGAAAATGCTTCATAGGTTAAACACAAAAGGGAACTCACTAACTTTAAGCGATTTGGGATAACAATGATAGGTAGATATAGCCAGGTTCATCAAAGCGTACATAAAAAATGAATAGCACAAATATTTAAATTGAATTTCACTTTGCACAACCATAATTTATGTTTCCGTTTTCGCCCTTTATGGTTTATTTCAATTATGGTGTTATAAACTCTGAGTAAAAAGAAGGCGCATAATCTAGAAGCATTTGTTTTCTTCGATCTCATTCACAAAAAAAAGCAATGCTCAAGAATGAAGTCAAACCGTTTCTGAAGTTTGTTTAGTTTGCATATTTTATAAACGACTCATTCTTTTCATAATAGATAAGTATGAATAATAAGTTACTTAATAAATATTTTATCTTTTCAATTTATGGGATGTAGGAAATTAAGTCAACTATAACTAAAACTTATCTTCTCTCTCAACTTAGTAATATTGGCAGGATGATATGGAAAAATGCACCTTGTCCGGAGCCCATAGTATGCATGATAATTTCCAGAGTCGGACCGTGGACGTGGTACACTCCCAGACATTTTGCAGATATCATAATCAACATCTTCATTAAGGCTTGTCATTCTTAGCGCCACAATACAACTCATCAGAGAGACAAGAGTTTACGCGGATTTTTAGGTCAAGCCTTGAGAAATTAGGACATTACATTGCATTTGATGCCAATTTTTATGGAAGCTATCATGACCTGCAGTATTTTTTTCCTAAATTATCTTTCACTTTGATCATCCTTAGATTACTTGGTGGAGAAATGCGACGTGAAAACTGGTATCTGGGAGAAGGTACCTGGTCTCGTTTCTAACAATTCCATACAAGTGCGCAACCTGACTGAGGGTCGTCAATACACCTTCCGTGTTCGAGCAGTTAACATGCTGGGCTCTAGCGAGCCTGGAGAGGTGTCATCTGCAGTTACGGCAAAGAATCCATATGGTAACCAGTCTTATTTTGTTAATAAAACCTCATTAATTCGTAAAAATATTAACTAGCTTGGTAGATATTAGTGGATTTTAGGCAATTAATCTCAGTGATATTCCTTGATGTTTATAATGGTGAGTAAATATGTTTGCTTTTTAAAGAAAATGGCAAGCAAATTAGTAAGGTACAAAAATCTAATTCTTTAATGTATATTTATTTTAGAACGCGGACTTCGGTTAGGCTTTATGGAAGTTGTCAATCTAAATAAGCTTAAAGATAGCATAAAATTTCTATCATTTCCGGACGGAATGTTCCTAATACCTGTAAAATTGGGTACTGAAAATAGAATAGTTATAAAACCTAGCATTATTTTTTTGGCTTAAGATGATCTCAGGTAAGTAAATTTTCCACACTATAATAAAATACGAATAGGAAGATTCACTCATTCGTATGACATTGCTACGCTATTTCATCCATCATAGGAAGGAGATGTGCTTCTATATGAACAGGTATAGGTTTATGGGATGTATTCACCCTAGTTCGTTTAAGGTGATTAAGGACTGATAGTATAATTTCCCCACAATTATGTGAGTGGAACTGACCTTTCCATTGAATTTCACATAGCCTTGCTTTCCCAAAAGTTGCTTTCATCCAGGGTGGACTGCAGTTTCGAACTCGCATAGGTCTTATCAACACCCTCAGCGGGAATTGAACCGTGACAGTTCCGCATTTCATACAGCTGATTTACTGGTAGTCTCGAAACTCTACTTATATATGAAAAATAAGTAAAGGCATGGCCTTCTTTGAAATTGACATCTGCCCTGTGACGCAGAGGCACTTGTTACAATTTGGCCGAGTGGTTAACATGTCAGGCTCACATTCTGCACTGTCACGATTCGACTCCCACCGTAGGTGTTGATAAGACCTATGCGAGGTCGAAACTGAAGTCCACTCTGGATGAGAACAACTTTTGGGAAAGCAAGGCTAT